TAACGGAGGAGTTTTCAAAGAAGCTTAGTTTATCGAAACATAAACATCGCCTGCATGTTTCCAGTATTGGTAGTTCGTTGACCAATATAAAGTACCAGACGCTCACATCTCGTCATTCAAATCTTAAACTTGCTTTAAACTTTGGTATTATGAATCACATCGCATATCAACCAAGTTCTGAAATCAATATATTGTCGTGGAAGGTTCCACCAAATACACCTCTCGCCGATGAGCAATTTTTTAAATCCAAGCGCGTTGACCTTTTGCTTGGAGCTGAAAGTTTCTTTGACATTTTGTCTGTCGGTCAAATCAAACTAGGTGAAAATCTTCCAGTACTACAAAAAACACTTGTAATACCACGTAATCTGAGGTGGTATCAAATAATGTATTTTCTTACTTCGTTACACTGACTATTAGGCACATAAACCAATAATCAGGTATTTATGACGAAAGGCTTGCAGGCACATAAACCGCTAACCAAGTAAGTAAATAATATTTATTTACTTGCTATAGTGGTTAAAAGCCTCATCTACCAATAACCAAATTTTTTTTTTGAAGGAAAGACGATTGTTTTCGCTCTCGAGTTTTATTATCAATATTGTTACCTTATATAGTATAGAATTACTTACTAAGCATAATAATATTTACTATTATTGATAACTAAAATAATAATTTAAATTTCACATACTGCTGCATAAGCATAAATACAATATGTGAAGCTATTGAACTTATAAACGTAAACAATGTATTTAATATTTACAATATTTATTTGCTGCATAAGTGTAACTACAAGCGAGCTAAAATATGTTAGGTTTGTTAAACTTAGCATTCTGCCCGGCTTGAATTACATTATTCAAGAATGAATCTATGAGCAATGATTGATTTGATTTGCAATGCGTTATGTTTTTTTTTTTAAAAATCAACAGACAAAATTTTAAAATAATTACAACATTTTGTGGATATATATAATTTTCAAACAATAAATAGTTATACAATATTACATAAACTTAAAAATATAAAATTTAGAGTTTATAGCATCATGAGAGTTTGAGAAGCTATGTAATTGTTTCAGGCTCCAAAGTAAATCTTGTTCGTGGCATCGCGTTTGGTGTGAGAGTTTGTGTTGGCTGATTGACTTCTGGACGCTTTACCTGCTTTATTTTCCATATCATCCATATGATGGCTCCAACGACAAGAATTAGGGTTGTGGAATTAATTGCGTAGTGGTGCATGCTGTCCGTCTGTAGTTTGTGTGGTAATTCAGCGAATTTTTCATCTTTCAGAATATTGTGAAGTAGCTTTAACTGTTTAAGTTCATTGCTGAGATTCAATGAACTTCCTTTAAAATTTGACCATAATTCTGAGTTATTAATGACAGGTATCTCACCAAATGCAATGTAAGATTCATACATGGTGTCGGTAAGCGTTTGATGTGTCTGAATTGTAGACGTTTGGTGTTTGAGTACACAGTCGTCTTGTAATTTCAGAAGTGTTGCACCTTGTAGTTCTAAATGAGTCGTGATGCCCTTACAGATGGCCGTAACTGTTGTATTGTTTTTTGACCCGAATATCCATTGGTTCGCATGATACAGGGGACTCCAAATAATGTTCGATTTTGTTTCCTGCACATTACACGTATTGTCAGATATGTTTTTTAATAGGTTAAATTCGCAAGCGTAAGCCTGTGAGTCGATGTTATATTTTGATTGTTTATCCGAACAGAGTAGTTTGTTTTCTGGTTGCTTGAAAGTCATACACTCCTTATACTGTTCACGAGTTAAGGCAAAATATTGGTCTCTATGCGGCGTGGCAGCTAAAAATGAAGCTTCTGGAACTATTGTCATCATTGTATTGTTGACTGTTGCAGGAATTGGGACGAGATTGAATAAATCGAAATCCTCATGATCGGTTAATGGCAGTTGTAAGACAACTATCAAATGATCTTGTGTGATTCCACTTTGTGAAGACATCAACGTGTATAAATGAATAACGTCCTCTTGATTAAATGGAAGACGAAGTGAATGAGGTAAATGGCCCTTGATCTTCATGATTTGGTCTTGAAGTTGTTGTGGAGACATCAAAAGAGAATTAATTCTGCCATGCTGAGTATCAGTTAAGACATCAAATATCGCAGCTTCAATTTTCATTAATGTATGTGCCATCCATGTAAGTTGGGTTACCAGTGATGTATAGATCTCTAGGTGGTTAATACGTTTAGTATTATGATTAGTGTGATCTACTATTTTGTTTGTCTCATCTTGTAGTTGATTCAGTTTGACTGCAATGGCTTCTGTAGTTTTGCTGAATATATTTAGAGTTGAGTCCATGACTGTAGTCTGATTTTTGATCATTTTTGATAGTACATCTTCATTATTGTTGATTTGAGTTAGAGTTTTAGAAATCGTTTCAGCATATTCTGAATCTAAAACACCAAATAATTTGTTAGCAATATTTCCAACTATATTGATGGCTCCTCTGGCTGATCGGTGTCTCGTTATGACCTTCGTTTCAGTTCGTAATTCTATGTTAGTATTATTGAATTGACGGACGAGCTCATAACAGCTTTCTTGTTGCTGTAACAATGGGCACAATTGCTGAAGTGTTGCTGTGCCATTTTGAAACCTTTCGATCTCCTTTCGAATAGGCGCGAACTCAAAGTAAGTGATAATTTTCCATCTTCCAATGATTTGATTTACGGTGCCAATTCCTTCAAAATATATTCCGGGTTTGTTTGGAAATGATATTTCTTCAATGGGTTTCGAAAGTATTAATGGCATCATCAAAATTGTCACAAGTATGGTCATCATTAAAGATGTGCCATCATAAATCTTTCGACGCTTTGGCAACGCTTCACTAGGTTCATTCGTTCGTCTTGTTTGTGTGACAGTAGAATTTTGTTTTGTTGGATTTTGATTAATGCTGCCTTCAGTGGGTAGGGGGGCCAATGATCGTAATGGTCGTTTAAAAATCCCATTGGCTGTTTTTATGTCAGCTACACGGACCAAACCATCTTCTCCTTCATACACCTGGTGCACCCTGCCAAGAGGCCATTTGTACATGGGTAGATTGTCATCTTTAATAATGACTAAATCACCTTGGCATAGATTTGCCTTTTGTTGTTTCCATTTGTACCTTGATTGGAGTTCATTGAGATATTCCTTTGACCATCTTCTCCAGAATTCTTGTTTGAGTTCAGAAACTAAACGCCATCGTGATGATAAACTCATTCGGCTCTCCTTTTGATAAGGATCTACATTAGTGGTAGGTGGTTCGCCTATGAGAAAGTGTCCTGGTGTAAGCGCTGTTAGATCATTTGGATCGGATGACATTTTTGTTATTGGCCTTGAATTTAACATGGCTTCTATTTCAGTTATGACTGTTGTCAATTCTTCATAAGTCAATGAAGCGTTGAAAATTCCTTTAATCATTAAATGTTTAGCTGACTTGACGGCAGCTTCCCAGAGTCCTCCAAAATAAGGAACTCTTGGTGGAATGAATTTGAAGTTAATTCCCTTGTTACTACTGGTCTTAATGATCTTTTCTTTACCATTTTCTGAATAAATGGTAGACTGGAGCTCTTGTAGTTGGTTTCTCGCCCCAACAAAGTTAGTCGCATTGTCACTATAAATTGTTTGGCATCTTCCTCTTCTGCTGATAAAACGTTGAATAGCGGCTATGAATGCCTCTGTTGTCAGGTCACTCACCACTTCTAGGTGAACAGCCTTAGTCGCGAAACAGCAAAATACTGCTAAATATGCCTTTGTTGGCCTTTTTCCTCTAATTTTATAATGAATCCATATCGGGCCACAGTAATCAACTCCTGTGGTAAAAAATGGTTTAGTCAGAGTAACTCGATCAGTCGGTAAGTTGCCCATGAGTTGGTCCATCAGTTTTGGTTTTGCCTTTGAACAGATGACACAGCTGTGAACAATGTTTCGCGCCATAATCTTTCCTTTAATCGACCAGAAGTTTTGTCTCATTATGCTTAGCAATAATTGTGGAGCACAATGGGAATTTTCTTCATGTTTCATTTTGAACATCAATTTCACTATTGAGTGATTGTAAGGAATTACCATTGGGTGTTTAGCATCATATGGCAATGTTGATGCTTCAAGCCTTCCTCCAACACGAAGTACACCTTGTTCGTCAATGAACGGTGCTAAAGTATTTAGTTGACTCGAACTGTTGATTGCTTTACATTGTTTTAAGTCAGAGATTTCCTTTGCAAATTCTGAGCCCAGAATAGTTTTAATTATGAAGACTAATGCATCTCGTAATTCCTTTGGAGAAAGTGTTCTTGTTGGTGATTGTGTGCGATGAAATACACGGCGAACATAAGCAATTGTTCTTTGGAGGTATCTGAATGAGTTTCGATGATCAATTTGATTTATCATGTGATCAGAACCAGTCGTTTGAATGATAATGTTAACTGTATGTCCTTGTCGTCTTTCGATATCAGTTGAGATGTTAAATGCCTTTGGGTTTGGCTGTTGCCAAAATTCGTTGCTTCCATGAAGAAAGAGTGGACCAAAAAACCATATATGTGAATAATTGAACATTTTAACCTTTATTCCTCTGGAAATGATGTCAGCAGGATTATCCTTTGACGCCACATGATGCCATTGATCAGCATGTGACATCTCTTGAATTTTGCTAATACGATTTGCTACGAATGTGTGCAATGAGGCAGATGAAGATATTATCCATGACAAAACAATTTCGGAATCGGACCAAAAGTAGGTTGGCACGTTTTGATACTTTAAATCTTGTTTAACTCTTTCTGCTAATTCGACTCCCAGCAATGCTGCGCAGAGTTCTAGTCGTGGTAGTGTCTGTTTCTTTAATGGTGCTATTCTAGATTTGGCGCACAATAGTCTCGATGTTATTGTCTTATCATTATATATTGCTCGCACGTACATAGCTGCTCCATATGCCTTCTCTGATGCATCCGTAAACACGTGTAATTGAATCGAACAGGGAACCGTCGAATTAAAAATATGTCAGGGTACTTTCACAGTATTTAATGTTTGTAAGTCATTTCTAAAACGCTTCCATTCTAGCTGAGCCTGAGGTAACAGTTTCGCATCCCAGGAATAGTTTTGTTGCCACAATTCCTGTATGAATATTTTAGCTGTTACAGTAATGGGGCCAAAAATTCCCAAAGGATCAAAAATTCGAGCTAAGTCCGATGCCACAATCCGCTTCGTGATAGGTTGCTCTGATGACATCTCTGCCTTACCGCAAAATTCGTCTGATTTCGGGAGCCAAATAATGCCTAATGTTTTTGTTGGCTTTATGGCTGAGTTATCTAAATCAAGGTTGATTTCTTGGTCTTCTATCGGAATGTTTTGTAGGAGTCGTGTATTATTTGAGCACCATTTTCTCAGTTTAAATCCTGATTTACTGAGCAGTTCCGTAAGTTGTTGTTGAGTGTCTAAGGCGGTAATGATGCTGTTAGTTCCGCTTAAACAGTCATCTACATAAAAATCATTAAGTAATGCAGGTGCTCCAAGCGGATAGTTGGTCATATTATGTTTCGCAAGATGTTGAAGACATTTTGTTGCAAGATAAGGGGCTGACTTCGTTCCATATGTAACCGTTTTCAGTCGGTAATATTGTATACTATCATCAGCACTTTTTCTCCAGATTATCAGCTGCTGTGCTGTATCTTCATCATGTACTTGAATTTGCCGGTACATTTTCTCAATATCAGCCGTAAATACAAACCGGTGTATTCTAAAACGCAACAGTATTGAAAAAAGATCACTTTGCACTGTTGGACCTTTGTGCAAAATATCGTTTAGTGCTAAACCGCTTGATGTTTTTGCTGATGCATCAAAGACAACTCTCAATTTGGTTGTAGTGCTGTCAGGTTTCAAGACACAATGATGAGGAATGAAATATTGTGTTCCTTTGACATCTTTCGGGCAAACTTTTTCCATGTGACCTAATGACTCGTAGTCATCCATGAACTTTATGTACTCCTTGTATAAATTTGGGTCCCTTTGTAACTTCCTTTCCAGAGAACAAAATCGATTGAATGCTATCTCACGCGATCTACCAAGTGTTGTGGGATCATCGCGGAAAGGTAAGCGTACAATGAAACGACCATCGTGATTTGTCTTTACATGATTTGTAAAGTGATTTTCACACCATTTCTCAGATAAAGTCAAAACCCTTTCTGCAGTCTCAAGGTTATCTAACTTCCAAAATCGTTCTATCATTTCTGACATTTCACCAACTTCTCCTGTAATAATAGCGCATGTTGGTTTATTATCTGTTGTAGTTTTAGTCTTACCAACCACCAACCAACCTAGAACCGAATTTTGTAACAGTGGCGAATTTTTTCCTATTATCAATTGTTCTGGTTGAAGTAGAGTATGATAGAATTCAGCACCAATTAGCATGTCAATTCTTCCAGATCTGTTAAAGCTGGGGTCTGCTAATTCTACATTCTGTGGGATCTGCCAATCCGAGATATCTAGGTCTCGTGACGGTTGTGCTGATATTATTTGTGGCAATACAAATGCCTCTAGTCTCGTCCTGAAGCTTCCATTAGTAGCCTGCAGTTCAACATTTACGCGAGATTTTGAGTTCCCGAATTGACGGCCAATACCTTCGATCGATAGATTTGAATTTGTGGTAATTAAAGACAACTTGTTGATTACTCTTTGGGTTACTAGGTTCACTTGAGAACCTGAGTCGAGTATGGCACGAACATCACACGTTCGTCCATTGTTTGCAATAATGCGCACCTTTGCTGTGGCTAGCAGAACGTAATTACGAGTACCCTTTGCATTAGTTGTTGCTGTTATGGATGGCGATTCATTAGCGTTGATCAATGTTGTGGTTGACTTTGTGTTTGTTGCTGGTGCCCTTGAAGTTTTAGGTGACTGTTGCTCTAAATGAAGCAAAGTGTTATGCTTCTTGGCACATTTTTTACATGATCCAACTTCACAAACCTTTGCTTTATGATCGGATTTGAAACAATTCACACATAGTTTTT